TAATGTTCAGGGAAAATATCAAGAATAATAAATCCCAATCTCTGCATAAAATATACCTTCATGACACACTCAAGCTGGAAATCACAGGAACCAATAAAAATGCAGGCAGCTACTGATAATGAGGTCAGAAATACAAATAAATTTACTTTTAATGAAGACTGGAGGCACAGTAATCAAAGTGTTAAAATTCATTTCATGCATATCTCATTTGCTTCTTAGCTGATATTTACCACGCAATTCTGTGAGAAAGTAGAGGCCTAAGATGCTCCAGATAAATGGCTCAATTAATTGTACAGAGGTACACCTCTTTGAGCTGAGCCAGAGCTGTGAGCTCTTTATTAAAAGCACTATTCTGTAGCCCCTAACCTTGTTCCTTGACTCCTCTCTGGTTTCCAATTTAAACAAGTCCCCATGCGGCCTGCTCTAAAGGGCTTTGTCTCCCTGTCATTGTTAAGAGAGCAGAGGCATCCAGGAAGTGTGAAATCAGACCTCATGAGTTGAACGGTTCCCCAGGGAACGCTGGACTGCGCAGAAGGTCAAAGTCATGGGCCGGACCGTCTAAAAGTGTCTGATCGCCGGTCTGTGACACAGCAAGTTGGGGGTAGGGGCTAGACTGAAGAGGACTGCAATTGAACACATCTTAATTAAAGCCCACAGACAGCAAAACAAAATGTTTTCTAGGCAGCCTGTCAAATGGGGCTTAAATTTAGCTCTGCTAATGAATCTGAGCTGCTCACTGCTATTTTGTAAAATAATAAGACTCTCATCTCAGAGGCTGATAAAAAAATACTGTAGCATGTCTTTTTCTGCTGTTTTGTTACTTAAATATTTTTCAACAATGAAGACAGTTTTCCAAAAGGAAAACATGGAAAAAGTCTATGCAAATAAAGGGGGCACTAAACATTTCTCTTTAATAACTACTTGTTTTCTAGACTACAAGGCTGACATGCTACAAGTCTTTTATGAATAGTTTAGTTTAGGAGGAAATGTTCAATTAATGGGACAATTTCAATGACTATGAATCATAAATCCTCTCTCTCTTCCTTCTATTACTTCCCGAAAGAGACAGTATATTCATTTGCCAAGTCAGTTCACCAAGGATAGGACATTTTTGTGTAGGCACTCTTTAACACAGTGGCAAGGCAGAGCAGCTTCTGAAAGGTTCTCCCAATTCACAGTTTATGAAGCTGACCAGCTGGTCTCCCTGGAGAGGCTGTGACCTCTTCCTCAGGAGCAAAACAAAAAAACCCACAAACAATAACAACCAAACCTCCTACAACCCTGATAAAATGAGGAGGGTGTGTGGAACCACCACAGCTCTGGGCAAAGCTGAGAGGAGGGCTGCTGAGCAGAACTCACAACCTGGAACAAGTAGGAGGAAGGGCTGAGGAAGAGAACTCTCTTATTTCTTTTGAAACTTGGAAGAACTCATCACCAGGTTTAAAAATAACTCACTAAATTTTCTTTAAAGAAAGCATCACTCAAGACAGAAGACATGAAATGCTGTGTTACAAGTAGAAATTACGCTCTACTTAATTAAGAACAAACAATAATCAATAGCTAGAAAAGGAAAATTTCATTTCCCATCACACACACAGACACAGACACACACACACACACACACAGACACACACACAGACACACAGACACACACACACACACACACACACACACACACACACACACATGCACACATTCCTCAGTTGGCCTCTCTGGTCTCATAATCTGGTCTCATAATCTGGCCAGTTTTAGAGAACCTGTGATTTCATGTTGGAAAGATTATTCCCCAGTGAACAAGACCAGGCAACCTCTGGTTTTGCAAACAGTAACCTCTCATTGGAGAGCTTATAGTGAATACATTGTAATTAGAAGTATTTTCAGTTACTCAACCTTTTTCCCTCAAAAGAATTTAGTGCAGCAAGGTTTCAAACCCTAGTGCCACTTTCTCAGGCTGTGAAAGGCTGTCCACAATTTGACTGAAATTTCAATCCACTCTTGTACTGTGCTCAATGTGTGCATATGTGTGGGAGTTGTAAATTGAGGCCTTAACCACCAGAGTTAATCTCTTTTTTAAATCTGTATTAACCTTAATGATTTGAAGTGCACTGGCCAACACTGGGCTATTGAGACAGAAGAAAAAACTCCCCTTGACTATCAATAGTTTATTAGGGGCTTAACTGAAGTGACCTACTGTAGTCGTGTTCTACTGAACACAGCTATAGGCTTTTTGTGGAAAGTGAAGGAATTGAGGGTTTCATTAAAAAGTAATTTGTGCTTTCTACTCACTCATTCAAAGAGAGTCTCAATTGCGCTTTATTCACAGAGTTAATACAGTATCACAATGTTTCTCAATGAATGTGTTGTAACAAAAGAAAAATTTTACGGTTTGAAAGGAAAAAAATTCTTTGTAACTGTAGGAAGATTGATGGCTACTTAAAAGATTACAGAATTTTTCTATCCTGTGCTCATTTAATGTTGGAATATTAATGAAAATTGTGCTTAAGTTATGTGACTGTATGCTGTAATAATTAAAAGCAATTACAAATATATGAAAGTTGGTCACGTATAAGTTTGTCTTGTTAGGTTTGTTTAAAAAGAAGTGTTCTGAAGTCAAATATCTTCTAACTATAGCTTTATTTATACCTGGTCAGAAAAAAATTCCTGGCTTAACATAAAGAACTACTCATGACTTTAAAATTCCCTACAATATTGTAGATCAGTGGTTCTCAAGCTGCAGGTCACAACACTCTTGGTAAACCTCTATCTCCAAAATATTTATATTACAGTTCATAACAGTAGCAAAATTACAGTTATGAAGTATCAATGGAAATAATTTTATGGTTGAGGGTCATCACAGCATAAAGAATTGTTATTATAGGGTCTTAGCATTAGGATGGTTGAGAACCGGTGCTCTAGATGGATGCTCCCTTGAAGACTTGAAGATGGGAGAATACATTTGATCCTGTCTCTTTCTGTTTGTTTCACATTAGGGAGAGCCTGGCTGTCATGACTCACTAAGATGGACATCAACTTTTAGAAATTCTATAAATAAAAGACAAAGCACATGAAGAGCTTACTTGTGTCCAAAATTCTTTATAATTTCAGAATTAAGATTATTTTAATTAATAGTGTATCCAGACATTTTTTACTTAAACAGATGGCCCATAATTTTTGCCACCATCAGAAATGTCATAAAAACCACAGAAGGTCAAAGGGTGAGCAAGGTCAAGACTAAATTACCCATTTGCCCCTGAATAGTTCAACATCTCTCTTGTTCAATCCAGAGCCCATTAGATTATAAGGTCAGCCTGGAATGAGGAATCATTAGATTTATATCCTTAAAACTGAAGGAAAAAAATTGAGATTCAGTTATTCAGGAGTCCTCAAATTAATGTTCACTTTATCAAATAAAATTATATTTCATTGAATCTCCAGTGGAAAGGCTATTGTTATTCACATTGACTTATATAGAACCATTAGGAAAGAAATATCTCTATTTTTTTCCAACTTTGAAAGTACATGTACTTTAACTTCCATAGTGGCATACAGGCCAAGTAGGTTAACCTAGTTTGCATATTCATGAAGTTTTAAAATCAATGACAGCTTCTAAGAGGAGACAAACTTACACAATTGCATTCAGCTTGAATAATGTCAGGTAGTCAGCATTGGAAATAAAGGGAACATGAATCATTCCATAAAAAATTATTGTGCAGATTAATTCACTGATAACTGTACAGGAAACAAAGTTTTAAGATAGAAAAGGAATAAACTTGCCATTCACGAGCTCTTTATCACTAACAGCTAAGGTAGCTCACATTCAGAGATTATAGCCACCTCTAGTACCAGTATTCTCAGGCTTCCACTTATGTTTTATAAAGTGCTTTTGTCTTAAGTTAAAGATGAGTTGATGATCATCTTTTCAAAGAAATGATAAATTCCTAAATATTTATGTCTGTCACATACTATACTCATTTGATGATCTACAAATACTAAAATTTTAAATATTGCTATTTTGAAATAAACATCTGCTGTTTAATTTTGAAAGGAATTATCTTTTTATCTGTTTTCAGTTCTCTTGAATGAATTAAAGGACACAGAGATTTGCAGACAGTTAGATGGTAAGAAAAGTATAGTATTTGCTTCAAATAAGTCTATAAGGGTCATTGTGCTTAACATTTAGAATTATGTACTTATTACTACAAATAATAAGCACAGTGAAATTTCCATGGAACTGGCAAGTCAGTCATATCTTATTATCCAATTTGAGACAGATAACTCAATGGTCCCACAAACATCTCTCATAGTCTTCTTGAATTACATGATAAATCAGTGACCACAGCTACACACAGAGTATTTAACTCTGCAGCGCCATGATATAAAGGCCACCAAGCTGAACACACAGTGACATTAAAGACAGAGAAGACACAAGACTGGCTTTGCTGTTCTTACACATCTATGTCCTAGGTGGAAAGTAACATATAGTCCAAGTTTAGATACATAATTATTTTTGTAGTATGCTGAAGAAATTTGTGTAACTAGGAAATTATAGCAGCAACCCGAATATGAAGCATTCATAGTAATTACTGAGCACTCCATCACTGACCTTTGCAGTGAATGATGCAACAGATTCCATGTGTGTTTGACTTACAAGTGTTTGTGCAGTGAGAGAAGCTGGTGACATCTGACAGGACATGGTTCTGTGTTGCTCATTATGCAGAAATGAAAATTGATACAGCGATTAAACTTTGGGAGGGCAATAATTCAGAAGTTATTTTGACTTTTTGTTATTTATTTTTAGTGTATCATACTGGGTTTAAAATATAGAACTGTGTAGGCAAGTGGGGATTATCAAGTCTTTTGTGAGATCAGGTCTGAATCTTTCTATTTAAACCATTGACTTCAATGACTCATTCAGATAAAATTCAGAGCTGGGTTGTTCTATTGCACAAACATGGTCCACTTTTTGATTTATACAATAGGAGAATTACATCATTTCCTACCTGTGACATCTGCAGCCATCAAACCTTCTGCTCTGATGACTTTTACCTGGAGAAATCCCACATCTTTTAGGTTGTTAAATATCCTCAGTGGACTCTGAAAAACCCAAACATAGGCATTAGGGGAAAAATAAAACAAAAGAAGCCTCAAAAAAATACACTTAGAAAACACTAAGTTTTCTCAGTAAAGAATCATTTGTATTTTTCCAATAAAAATTATACTTCCTGCGTCAGGAATATACACATAGGCATGTGCAAATGGGAACACACACTCATGTGCATGGTCATGTACATGCACATACAATTATGTAATTAGTGATAAATGATTTTTTGAAATAAAAATACCACAATTACTTCCTATAAATAACCCTCAGTAGATGCCGAGCAATGAGCGTCAAAGCAGATCTCTTCAATGGCTTCTCTGAATGTCTTCAATTAGAGCACCTCAAAAAAAATCTTTCATCTGTAAATATGATAGTTTGAAGATTATAATATCTTAACTGATTGGTTACATGACAGTCTTCAGATATAGGGGAGTTATTGAGAAAGTTAATACTAAACAAATTATTTTTCTACCATTGTATTTTTAGTGTTCAGATGAGGGATAAGTTATCAAAAGACTTTGATAATAGTTATTTCAAGGACTTACAGTTTTCTAAAACTTTTAAGGGAGATATTTTAAAAAATAAATCAAGTTAAAAATAAAATAATTTCAAAGGTAGTGAGGAACTTCTCTTAGGTTTATATTTGTATTTGCTGTAATGTATAGAATTGTAAAAGTTTTTGATAGAACCAGATGATAAAAAAAAGCTAATTCACTTCACAAAATGATTGTGATATCTTAAAAACATAGTATGTGAAGAAAGTGAAGGGGGAACGCTAACATAAAATGACCTAGGACTCTAAAGAATGAATAAATGCAACAGAGTTCTAGAACACTGGTATACATTTTGTTTATATTTCACTTTGTCTTTCCTGTGCTAAGGCCACTGCCTCACACTCAATTCCTCAGCACCTTTAAAATGTCTCATCACAACATAGTCTAATATGCTTCTTCATGAAAAACTTATCTATCAAAATGGTGCTAGAATAAAAGCAGTCTCATTAGTGTATTACTTGTGTAGGATACAAGCAAACCAAAGCTTCTACAATACAAACTTTATCAGTCCTGGATGGCTACTCATTATTTACACTGAAGCTATGCCCTTGGTATTCTGAGAGGAAGAAAGACAGATAAATGTGTAATCTCATAGCATGACTTTCTAAAACAGTGCTCGGTACAAAGATTACCTCTTGATCTCTGCTATAAACAACTGTTTATCACCAAGGCTTTATTTAAAAGGCTCATTTGGCTGGATTTTCTTTAAATGCACTTGTGTCTCTTTTTAAATCCCTACAAATAAAATGTTTATCAATGGGGACTTTAGGCAACAGGACTAGGGTCCTGAGGTTTCCAGGTAGTGCTGTATCCTATAGCACTGATAAAGTTGGCCCAGGATGTTATCTCAGAGCTCGATCAATACATGAAACCCATGAGGAATTCTACCCTAATGACAGGGAATAGTTTCATGGAAAGGGTTTGGCACTTTAATTTTTCCACAAGCAATTCAAACCAAATTTTATTGTGACTAAAACAAATATCATCAGTCAGAGTCATTTCACTCTGGGATGATGATGGGGCAGCCACAGCCACACTGACTGAGGCTTCAGTTCTGAGCTCCAGGTTCACATTTAGAAGGAGGGGTGATTAGAGTCTGAAGGTTTCATTCTCCCAGTCACCTGACATTTGACAATTTATTGAAATTTCTACTGTTTAGGCCAGTGACACATAGATTATAATAAGAACTCAAAGAAAAAACAAATAAATACTAGTTTAAAAATTAATTTTATGAAAAGCGTTATCAAAGGTTATTCCACATAGTTATTTATGGATATTTTAGGAGGCCTCAAAACCTCTATGGCTTTTGAAGCTAGAAATTTCCATAGCAGAGGAATCCATGATTTGCTGTGAATCCTTTCAGCCCTCAATAGATGGGAAAAGATTGAAATGCTCTGGAGAGGAGCCTCTTTATTTTTTTAATGAAAGGCTGTATAATATATTTTCTCTATGGCTGCAGCAGCTGTCAGAGAGAGCATCGTGGTTCAGCTCTATTACGGGAGAGGCAATACCCCATCCTATGGCACAGAGATGCTCTGAGGGGCCAGGGCTGATTGACAGCTTGTCACCATGACGTCTTATTCCATCTCTGTTATGGAGAAAATTAATGTCACAGCACCAGCCTTATGACTTGCTGTCATCTTAGAGCCGCTCACCTTTTATCAATGCTCTAAATAACATTTCAAGCCCAGCGTCTCACGGTGGACAATCCGGTCAAGGGACATTAAATCAGATGACTGTGAAATGTCATAATAAAAATGGAATGCTAACAACTTCTTCTCTAAACCAGCTCCTCTGGTTTTTAAACTGTGACAAGGAGGAGCAGGGGTTCAGCAAACCCGTTCTGAAAAGGTCAAACAGCAGCTCTTGGACTACTACCCATTACTACCCGCCCCTACTGACCTTCCCTCTTCCCCTCCTAGCAAAGGCGAAAAGAACAAGAAAATGGAATTAGCCACCTTTTCAGAACGTGCTGATCAAATAGTAGCTCACACATGAATGTCTGTTTAATTTGTGGGGTTTCCCTGCTGAGCAATGACAAGATTCTCTAGAGCTGTTGAATATCAGAGTGGGGCAATTCATTTCTTTCCCTACCCTAACTAGTACCAAATCTAAATGAAGTCAAATTCTTAAGTTTAACCTCAACTTTAAATATATACGCACGAGTACACACACACACACACACACACACACACACACACCATGTACATTTTAAAAGAAAAACATAGATATAATTTACTGAATAAGTGATCTCCTCTACATGTTTCCTCAAAACAAGGGGTATTTTAGACCTCATATGCAATCCATTCACTTCATAAAACATAAAGTATAACAGCCTTTAAAGCCGCCAAGATGTTGCTCTTTGTCCTTGTAGTGCGGTGAGTTAACACTAATATAGCGCATGCGCTCTTCTGCATTACAGCTTCTTAGCAAGTATGTCTCTAGAGGGAACGGAAGACCTGTGCCTGAAATCTGGGGTTACAAAAAAGCATATTTAAACATGTTTTATCTTTTAAAGCACTGGGCGGAACATAACACAAGAATTAGCTGGGATGTCAAACATTTTCCATTTCATTGAAATAAGTAGCATTTTGGAAAAGATGGAAAACAAAGTATTCATATTCTGAATGGAAATAGCTGATTAAGGTAAATCTATTCAACAACAACAGTCAATAATAGGGAGATTACTTCTAATTATGCAGACAGCACTATCATTTTCATACATGGATGGTATCAAAATAGTGATCCAGTAACCACAAACTGGAAATGCCCAGATGAATTTTTATGTTAATATACCAATTAATTCCTTCACAGTAGTTTTAATTCAGACAGCTCATTTCCTGAAACTAAAGAATATATTTTAGTAGAGTATCAAAATGTGAAATAATTTTCATAATTGCAATTATATATTAGAAGACACTACACAAAAACTTAGGCTCCTAGGTGGTTTAAAAATCTACACTATTTAGCCCTGCTAAGTCACCTCTATTAAACTGTTTATGGTAATACTATTGGTGCATGAGTTGTACAAGCATTAGCAGACAGCTGATTCAGTGGAGATAGCCAGAATAAATTTGCTGAGGCGGACATCCTGCTAATCTGTTTGAAGAATATTGTAGAGCATTAGTACCAGCACTTCATGTTATCTGCACAGCCTGATAAGGTACATCTTTATTAAATTCAGTTAGTGAAAGGATGTCAGTCAGCAAATAGGAATATTTTTTAAAAAGCCATTCTTTGTTAGTCAGAGCTTGGTTTCATGGCTGAGTGTCTAGAGGAGCCGTCTAAACACCTGGCAGTGCTGTACAATACGAGCTTTGTGGTTTTAAGTGGAAAAGCTTCCCCCTAACTTCATGGGTACCGAGCCTTCATTGAGAGAAAATGGTGGAGCAAGAGCTCCCCTCTCTGTTCATTCAAGACAACTACATGGTGGAAAAGGCATCCTGAAAGTTGCCGGGAAATAGAAGATTGGACTGACTATGTGAAGAAGATTTGAGAAGGGTGTTTATTTACTGTGCTCTCTATTCCACCCTTCCACCTCGGCTTCAATCAGAGGAAAGGAGGCTACCTTTTAACTGCATTTCACAGTGACTTTAAGTTGAAGGGGTGAAGTTAAGCTTTTCTCGTAAACATCACTCGTGCACATTCTCCAGGTCCCAACCTCTCAGTATGCCAGTAAACTCATTTTAGATTTAGAAAGACAACTCTTCTTTGCAATTACACTGAACCAAGGATTAATATTAAAGGGATGTATAACTTTGAGTTTCCTTTATGGAATATATATATATATATATTTTCATTCATATGAAATTATACATACGATATATAATTATAGATATGACAAAAACCTCAAAGTAGAACCTTAGAATCCAGAACGTGCTCTGCAATGGATTCTGGAGATGACCATGCTACAGACATAAATGGGCAATGCCCACTTTAGCTCCTGCAGAGCTGCATGGCATCTTAAGGAGCCTGCCTTCTGCCCCTCAAACACCCCTTCTGAAATCTCCTTTCAGTCTGGGTCTACTGATTACCACCTCATGTAGTCACACTGGATCTGAAAGAAAGATCACTCATACGTACATATCTCTTTAATATCTCTTCCCGCTCCTTCTGGTCCTCCATGGAGTTGACAGAGAGGTCAGAGATACTGACTGTGGCTGAGGCTGTCAGAGTGACAAGCAGAACCAGGTGGCCCTCACCCTCTTCCAGCTGTAACTCCAGCTTGTGTGTTTGCTCCCTACTGAGGGACGACAGGTCAACCTGGCACCTAGAAACAAATGTTTTGAATTAGCAAGTGGCAGTTTTCACCACATCAAACAGAAATGGGTTTGTTGGAGCCCTGTGAAAGATAGAAATACCATCTGGGCCAGTGGAAGAAAATCAACTAAATTCAGGTCTTGGCAACTATAGAGCTGTTAACTTTTTATTTCCTGTAAGACATAGACTTTGGTGAAGTTGCATTATTATATCCTCTGATACCTGATTCACAAATTGGTGGAATTAGTTGGGGCAATACAAACTGAAGCAAACTACCAAAAACCTGAGTTTCTATGCCACTATTTCCGTTATGGCTGATCCTTTTCCCAATACATAAATGTCACTGAAAATCAAATAGAACATTTACTATAAAGAGGTGAAGTTTTACATTTTGCAAATCATACTGAGAGTACACTTATTAAATTTAAGTGTTCCTTTCCAGGGTAGCATAAAGTGGCAAGACATGTTGCATGTGCCAGCCTTCAAGTTAAAATACCTTTCATTGTTTTCATAAACATGCCAATTGATTTTGAGGAGGCAGATAATATAGTGACTATAAGCCTACTAACCTGAGAGAATGAGGGTGTGACAGGAAAGAAGAAAAGACATTTCAGACAACAAACAGGGCTGGTAAGATTGCCTAGTGAGTGAAGTTGCTATCTGCTAAGCTTGGACATCTGAGTTCCAACTCTGGGACCCACATGGTGGAAGGGGTGAACGAATTCCCAAAATTATCCTTTAACTCATGTACTGTGACACATACCAGAAACTGTATTGAAAATCAAGAAATAGCCAATTATCAAAGTATATGTTCTCAATATATCATTAATGAGATGAGCACCTATCAGGAAGAGATAAAATTATAAAATTCTTATTTCTTTTCATTTTTCACTCCAGCACTTATTTTTTGTCTTAAAACTGTTTTAAAATAATAGTATACTATTTAACGTCCTCAGAGATTGTACCTGAATTCAAATGTGTCTCTTAAGAGATTTAAGAGATTTTAAAATATGAATCAAAGTCTGACATTCAGTTTTTTGTGTGTACAACATTAACAATAACTATGACTAGACACAAGGCATGTGCTAAATGTTATGATTAACAGAGTTTGTAATTAATTTGTAACACTCCTAGGGAGACACCTTCCAAATGTTAGAATAAGTACCAGAAACCTCACTACTTCTGATAATCCAGCATTCAATTCAAAGTAACATCACTAATTCTCCTTAATGGTGAGTACATATATATATATCGCCTTATCTAACACTCTAACTGAAATTAGAATGAAGTTCTTAATAACATCAAGAGTAACTTGAAACCTAAAACACATCAATAAATAATAATCACTCAAAAAAGCAATCAAAAAGGAGAAAAGAAAACAATTTTACTGATCTCTCCAGCACTGGCACACTGCCTAGACATAGTGCCTTACTGAATGTGAATAACTCTCTGGCGTGGATCAGGAGGAGAACACTAGGTAACTGAATGGGGACTGTAATCAGGACAGAAGGTTGGCTGAATGTACATTTGGGCCCAAGAAGGTCCTTTCATTCACTTTATTTCTTTTTGCCCCCCACCCAACCTCCAGTTCAGTTTAATCATGTACTTCCCAGGCCTGTCCTTCCGTAGTCTTAAAAAGGATGCTGCATTGCCATACACAGAAAGGCACAGGAACAACAAGCCGCCAGCACAACTCCCTCCCAAGCTCACGGTCATACACATGCAGTGTGAAAATTATGCTTTTTCTCTTTCAGAGTTGGAGAAAGTGCTCTCAAGATAATCTGCTCAAAATATAATCTCAAGATAAATTGCATACTGGCAACTTTCAAATGGAATCAGATCCATAGATTGACTCTCTCTCTCTCTCTCTCTCTCTCTCTCTCTCTCTCTCTCTCTCTC